TTCACCGTCCGACCGCAGGATGAGACTGCAGTCCCAGGGGGAGAGGCCGAGAGCTCTGTGAGTGCAGGTCACGAACATATCATGATGTTGGAGGTCCGAAGCAGCAACCTGCGGTTCGTCGCCCTCCTCCCTCCTCGCCCTCATCCTCGTCGTCGTCTCCCTCGTCCTTCCTCCGCCTCCACATCCTGATCCAGCTCCTCATTCGCCTGTTCCCTTCTTCCCCCCGTCATCCTCGTCCTCCTCTACCTCCTCCTCCTCCTCCTCCTCCTCCTCCTCCTCCTCCTCTCCTCCATTCTCTCCCGCTTAAGCGCATCCTATCTGGGACCACCCCGGGAACAGGAGAGTCTGGTTCGCAGAGTTATCCCGAAAGGGGAGCAGGGGCAGGAGCAGGAGGGGGAGCAGGAGGAGGGGTGGAGGCGTGGAGGAGTGGAGAAAGGATGAGGTATAAGGGGAAGAGAAGTCGGGAAAGGTGAGCAGGAGGATGAGGGGGGGCACCCCCGCACCACCGGCGGAGCCCCCTCGCACCACCGATGGAACACCCTCGCAACACCGGCGGGGCACCACGATCGATCTCACAATCGATCCCACGATCGATCTCACAGTCGATCCCACCACAAATATCACTATCGATGTCACGGGTGACCTCGCTATCGATCTCTCTATCGATCTCACGATCGATCTCACGATCGATCTCATTGACGCGCCACCGACGGGGCACCCCGTTCCACCGACGGGGCGCCCCCGCGCCAGCGAGGCACCACCGCACCGCCGACGGGACATCCCGCGCCACCGGCGGGGCACCTCGGGACCCCGCGCGCGCCTGGGAGGGGGGCGGTCAAACGGCTCCATGGCACTTGCCCACAGCGGCATCATGTTTGTCCCATTCCACAGCAGTTTCGCCTCGAACGCACGGCACGAACGTGATACCTAAACCGATTTCCCGGTGGGGGCCTCTCCTTCCCATTGCGATCTCACCCCCAACCTCCGATTTGGATTTTGGGGATACGAATGTTATCCGTAAGGGCTTCGCCCCCTGCCGCCGGCCCCCTCTCTCGGAGAATGGTCCATGGAAGAGCTAAGTCATGAGGGTTTGGCGCTGTCGTGAAGCAGTATCGAAACTTCATGCGAAGCCGAGTCGAAATCAGCAAAACCAACTGATCACAAGAGGGGTTACCACACCTGGCGATTGGTAAGACGTGTATGGTTTAAGGGCTTGGTTGCCACACCTTGCGATTAAAGGGCCGAGGGAGTTCTCGCAGTTTGGGTTACCACGCCTTGCGATGGATGTGCGTGATGGGTTCGAATTTCAGAAATGTGGCAAATCCCCTTTGTTTTTGGACCCTGACCCCACGGATCTGCGTGAGGGGTGGCACCGAATTTCAGAAATGTGGCAAATCCCGTATGTTTTTGGACCCTGACCCCGCGGATCTGCGTGAGGGGTGGCACCGAATTTCAGAAATGTGGCAAATCCCTGTGTTTTTGGACCCTGACCCCGCGGATCTGCGTGAGGGGTGGCACCGAATTTCAGAAATGTGGCAAATCCCCTGTGTTTTTGGACCCTGACCCCGCGGATCTGCGTGAGGGGTGGCACCGAATTTCAGAAATGTGGCAAATCCCCTGTGTTTTTGGACCCTGACCCCGCGGATCTGCGTGAGGGGTGGCACCGAATTTCAGAAATGTGGCAAATCCCATGTGTTTTTGGACCCTGACCCCGCGGATCTGCGTGAGGGGTGGCACCGAATTTCAGAAATGTGGCAAATCCCTGTGTTTTTGGACCCTGACCCCGCGGATCTGCGTGAGGGGTGGCACCGAATTTCAGAAATGTGGCAAATCCCGTGTGTTTTTGGACCCTGACCCCGCGGATCTGCGTGAGGGGTGGCACCGAATTTCAGAAATGTGGCAAATCCTATGTGTTTTTGGACCCTGACCCCGCGGATCTGCGTGAGGGGTGTCGATTTCGAGCCCCCCCAGCAATTCAGACAACGCGCCCAGGTGAGGCTAAAAATCCTGTTTGGGCCTCCCCCCCCTCGCGCGGTCAATCAACTAGTTACAGTAACCAGCAAGAAGTCAACTAGTTACAGTAACCAGCAAGAAGCAGAACTGTAACACTGGAAACTACAACCTACGACTGGTACAGGAAACTGCGAATCACGTGCCTACAGCCTGGTGGCCCCACAAGGGGGCCGGCGGATTTTCTTACATCGTCCCCATCATGTTGAGCATGATAAGCTCTGTCGGTACGACTCGGGGTTGTTTGAGGCCACCGTTTGCCAAAGCGCGCGGTTGGGAATGTCTTCGGGTTCCGTGCGTCTTCCGCTAGTTTCGAGGATTCGTGGCCGAATTTTCAAGGACTGGCGGGGGGGGCGAAAAGCGCCCTCCGAACACTTTCTGTTTTGGTGAGGGGGGGCGTTTTTGAGCAGCCTCCACGAAGTGGGTTTGTGGCCTCGGGGGCGCGAAAGTGGTGTAACGTTCAAGAGATCGTGGCCTCGGGGGCGCGCATGTTGTGTAATTTGCAAGGGGTCGTAGCCTCGGGGGCGCGACTGCGGTGTAATTTGCAAAGGATCGTGGCCCCGGGAGCGCGAGCGTGGCCTAATTTTTGGTGGGATCGTGGCCTCGGGGGCGTGAGCGTGAAGTAATTTACGAAGGATCGTAGCGTCTGGTCCGCAAGCGTGGCGTAATTTACAAGGGATCTGGGTTTCGGGGGCACGGGGGCTCGAATTTGGAGTAGTTTATACTGGGATCGTGGCTTCGGGTGCACGAGCGTTGTGTAATTTGCTAGGGATCGTGGCGTCGGGGACGCGAGTGCGATGTAATTTACAAGAGATCGTGGCCTTGGGAGCGCGAATGCAATGTAATTTGCACGGGATCGTGACCTCGGGGGCGCGAATGCGGCGTGATTCGCTAATGATTCTTGCGTCGGGGGCGCGCATCTCATGTATTTTTACATGTCCTACGCCTCCCCAAGAATTCTGAGAACGTGATTTGGTGAATGTAACCAGGCTCCTTTTCGGCTCCCCCCCTCGCGCGGACTTCAACAGTTTACAGTAGGACGTAGAAAGTAGAACTATACCAAAGGAGACTTGAAACGAGAACTGGAGCAGGGAGCAGCACGCCTAACCCACGCAGCCTGACGGCCCCACAAGGGGGCCGGCGGATTTGCTTTGTTTGGTAACCAAACAGAGCAAACCCGACTTTGGTTTTCTTGTTTTGCTGATTGTTCTTTGTAGCTGTTCGTGTGTTCAGTGTTTTGCCCACGACGTTAGATTTTCAAGGGCGCTGGCGTTCACTATTGAATTGAGGACCCTCCTCAGCATCCTCTGGGCGCCCCTCCAGGGCTGTGCTGGGTCGAGGGGTTCGCGCGGTCACGGAGGCCGCGCTCCGCGTCCGCCAGTGGCAGGAAACTGCCGTGGGCGGGTCCTTCTTTCCTTCCGTGCGCCCTCGGTGGGGCGCCCCCGTGGCTCGTTCGTGTGCTCGGAAGGCGCCGAAACTTTCTATGCAGCCACACCGATCCTGGCCAGGCTGGTCCTGGGCCAAGGATCGGTGTGTGTGTGTGCCTTCCTCTGGATCCAGGGAGGTGTTGACGCCGATCCTGGGCCCAGGAGGGGCCTGGCTGGGATCGGTGTAGGTGCATGATTGGCCTCCGTTGGGACCTGGGCTTTCGGTGGAGGGGCTCGCGTTCTTGACTCAAGCTCATGTGGCCCTGGTTCGCCGTAGGCAGGTCCTGGGGCTCCTGTGGTGGATTCCCAGCCAGCCAAGTGGACACTGCGACTGACTTCTTCTCGCACGGCACAAGGCTTCGTTCCCCTCTCCTCGTCTGGCCTCGCCAGTTCGCCGCCTTGCTTCCTCCCTCTTTGGCTCCCTCCGCTCCTTCTCTTCTCTCGCCTCTCCCTCTCCTCCTCCCCCTCTCCAGCTCCTCGGTTTTCTCTATGGGCCCCACCTCGGGACGGCCGCTTTCGGAGAGATAAGAGTTAACGGATTTTCCGCATCCGTTTCCTACGCACCTGTGGGTGAATGGAGTCGTGCTTGCTTGCCAGCGGACATTGCGGCAGGCGCGCGAAGCCACATTTGGTTTCCGCCTGCCGATGAACCGGGCGGGGGCACTTTGAAGTGGCGTGGTCCATCGGTAGACATTCTCGGTTTCAGTGGCTTCTCGTCTTTTCTCCCTTGCCTGTGCGTCTTCATTGGTATTGTGTTGCGAGGGACCCCGTCGTCGTGTCGGGTCTTCTTGCTAACGCGCTGCCAGTGCGAGCTGGACGTGCTTCCGAGGAGCGTACAGCTCTGCCGCCCGCAGCACGGCTTGGGAGCGCTTTGGCGGTATCGCTCTTGCAGTATTGCGCCCTCCTGTCTATGCCCTCCTTCCGCGCTGCCTGGCCTGTTCGTTGACACGCTGGCCTGCTCGCGCGCCGACGGGCACATCAACTCTCCACCGGATGGGCCAGTGCGCCTCCCTCGTCTTCGCTTTTTTTCTCGCTGTCCACTCGTTGTTCCTCCATCTCCCATCTCCTCCTCCTCTTCGTCGTCGCTCGCTCGTGCACGCAGCCGCGCCCTGCTCTGTCCGCTCGCCGTTTCGCTTCTCCAGGTTCCTGCTCCTCCTCGCCCGCTAGCAGCCCACTGCCGCCCCGCTGCCGCCGCCGCCGCTGCCACCGCCGCTGCCGCAGCCGCTGCCGCAGCCGCTGCCGCAGCCGCTGCCGCAGCCGCTGCCGCAGCCGCTGCCGCAGCCGCTGCCGCAGCCGCTCCGCCTGCGCCTTCGTCGCCCTCGTGGCCTCCGCCCTCAATCCTCCCGCCTCTTCTGCTGCAGTCCGCCGCTCCTGCCCCTGGGTCGCCCTCGCGGCCTCCGTACTCCCGCCAGAATCCTGCGGCAGCCGCTGCTGCTGCTGCTGCTGCTGCTGCTGCTGCTGCCATCGCCTCTGGCTGCCCCTTTCCTCGCAGATCCGGGTCGGCGGATTCGCAAGGCGCGTGCCGCGGCCGCGCGCTGCATCCGGCTGACCCGTGCGCCGGAGGCCCATGGCGGGCTACTTCGTGCCCTCCCTGATCGGGTGCGCCCACCCTCGTCCCCGGACAACGGCCATGAGGCTGTGGACGGGGAAGCTTTTCAAAGACCGAGCGGGGCTGGAGGGCGGGCCTGAGGTAAGGGTGAGAGAGAACGAGCGAGGGCCAAAGCGGCCTGATGTCAGTGAGCTCAGTGTTCCACACGTTTTTGAATTCACGCTGTCACCAGCTTGCCGACCATCGCTCAGTCTTCGCTCAAGTCGTTTTCGACGGAGAGCGTCCCGCATCAGCCCTGACCGACCCTGTCCTCCCTACACCTTTTCGTTCGAGGCGCGCGGCCCACAGCCGTGCGTGGAGATGTATGGTACCCCAATTGGTGCTGGCAGAGTCGCCGAGGTGGGAGGTGATCGGCGAGGCGAGCGAGGCAAAGGGTCGGGCGGCGGATTGCAACTCAACTCAGCTCAGGAGATCGCGGCTTCTTCACTTGTGTTGACGGCCCCTTACTTGCTTGCCGAGAGCACCGCGCGACCTTCGGCGAGGACGACGGTGCCCTGATCAGCACTCCGGGGTGGCTACGCGTGTACCAGGTTCTGGTCCTTTCAAGGGGGCTTGTCGCGCGGGACCACGAGTTGATCATGGATGCTGTTGTGCGCGCTGGACCGCTCCACATCCTGATGGACGTCCGCGCCTTGGCCTCACACGAGGACGTCGGGCGGGAGACGAGTACTGCGGCCACCCGTCGAGTTCGTGGCGGGATGGAGGCCGAGGCAGGCGGCGAGAGTGCAGAAACCAACCTGCACGTCGGGGAGCTGGCGCCAGAAGGCGACTTGATGCCGATGCCTGCGGCTGCAGGCGAAGGGCCAATGGTGGGTAGGCCGTCGTGGATGCGAACGGGGGCGCGTGGTTTCCCAACATCCAAGCCGACGACGTCGAGCCGACTTCCACCAGCAGCGAGGAGGAATCCCTCTGTCGCCGGGGTGGGGCGGACCGCGAACGGATATTGTAGTGGCCTCCGGCCAGTGCCGCCGATCCGGGATGCTTCCGTTGTTGCCGGAAACGCACGATGGCGGTCATGACCGGCGACGGCTGCGAGCGGTGAGGATGATGATGAGGATTGAGAATGGAGGCAACGGAAAAGGAGGAAGGAGGAGGAGGAGGAGGATGATCATGATGAGGTGGAGGGGGGGTGGGGGGGAGGGGCAGGAGTAGCAGGATGCTGAAGGTGAGGAGGAGGAGCAGGAGGAAACGGGAAATCGAAGGGTGAGAGGGGGAGAAGGAGGAGCATGACGAGGATAAAGGGGATTGTCGGCGGTTGTTGGAAATGTTCGGCGGTTGTTGGCAAGCCTCTTTGGGGCCAGGTGTTGGCCTTCTTTGGGTTCACACCTCGCCGATTTGGAGCGCTTTCTGAAAATGTTCTGCTAGGGCTGTCTGCGTCGCAGTTCTTTGTGGAGCCTCCTGCGTCGCCGGTTTTTGCTGGGAGCCGTGGTGTTATTGGGGTCTCTGGGGCCTTCGCGCGGTCCTTTGCGGGCCCTTGCGACATCGCGGGTGTGAAGGGCACCGAAGACGGGGGAATATGTGAACACGTGGAAGAACCTTTTGTATTGCAGCGCTTGTGTTCAGACGTAAGCGCCGTGGAAGCATTGGGGCCGGTTTTGGGCTTGTCGGGGGGAATCTTAGCGGCAGCTTGGAGGCTAGAAGGCGTTTTGGATACATTTGTTGAGACTCGTGGGTGTTTTTTAAGGGGTTTCAGGGGGCCTCTTCGGGGCCAGTTGGAAGCGTCTTGGGCCTCTTCGGGCCTCTTGGGGGCCTCTGGGGGCCTTCTGGGGGCTTCCGGGGCCGTCTTCGGCACTTTTTCCGCCATCCTGGCGCCCTCTCAGGCGCCTCTTGGGCCCGTCCCGGGGTCCCTTTGGGCCTTTCCGGGGCTTCCTGGGCCATATTGAGCCCGTGATGGATCGTCTTGGAGCCCTCTTGGTGGCTTTTTGGGCCGTTTTGGGGCTCTCTTGGGGCGTCTGCGACACTCTGAAGGCCCACGGGGCGAATGTGCTAAAATTGACATCTTCCCCAGGGCATGGGGCATGTTTTTTTTTTTTTTTTTTTTTTTTTTTTTTTTTTTTTTTTTTATATATATATGTGTGTTGTGAAACCTTTTTCAGGGCTTCTGAAGGCATCTTCGAGGCTCATGGAGCCGTTTTGGGGACAACTCGGGCGTCTTGCAGCGATCGCTCGGCGAGTCGGGGCCCTCTTGGCCCATGGCGGGGCCCTCCTGGGCGAGGGGGCCGTCTAGGAGTGATCTGGAGCTCCGATTCCGCCCCGGGAATTAAATCGAAGCACCACCCCCTCCCCCAACCCCGGCAGAACCACCCCGGCACCCACCCCCCAGTAGGGGTGAAACTCAGGAATTGAGGCTGATGCTGTTCTGCAGGGTTTAGAAAATCACACGCCGGCTCGGCGGATATGCGTGCCACCAGCCAGCGAGGCGGGGCCCACCCAGCGTTCGTCGTTGCCCCCCCGCTCCCGGTCGAGCAGGAGGCTTCGCTGGCCATGGAGGGCCGGGTGGGCACATTCGGGACGATTGAGCTGGCCATGCGCGCGCAATGGGTGTTCCAGGTGATGACTGCTCGCCTTGGCCGCCACGCATCCGGCCGCGCCGATGCCGTCGCGTGGAACCGCAAGATTGGATGGAACCCGCCGCGAGGCCAACACGTTGATGGTTTTGTCGGAGCGCTGTGCGGATCCCAGCGACGAGGGGCAATGACTCATGATGGACGCCGTCTCGACCCACAAAAGGCAGTTGGAGCGCGCGCCCGTTGAGTGAACCGAGGCGGAGCAAGGCGAGTCGCATGGAGGTGGCGGCACATCCAGTGGAGCAGAGCGATGACTGCGTCAAGGGCGGCGGCAAGGGCAGCAAGGGCGACGGGGGCCAGAAGCGAACCCTGACGTCGCCTGCGGCCCCGGGGCCTAGCCCACCACTGACAGCTCTCTTACTCGGTGGCCGTCTGCTCCCTGGCCCTGGGCTGCCAGGCATTTTCGTCTTCGGCCAGAGCGAGATGTCGCGACATAGCGGTGACCTCCCGTTCCCTCGCCCCTGGGAACGCGATGGAACGCGAGCGACGACTGGCCCGTGAACTACTTCATTTTCAAGTGCTTGTGCTTCAACCACCTCTCGTCCCTTGCGTGACACCCCTACAGATGCCGTCGTTCCTGGGCGAGTAACCTGACCGTACAAGCGACCGTTGGGATATTTTCCCGCGCCGTACTTTCGTGGCGGCACAGCCCTCCCCCAGTTGGCGCGGTCTCCTCGGGTCCGCCCGGCCCCTACATCCTTATGGTTATTTTTTTTGTTTTTCGGGGTTATTTTTTCGCGTTTTTTTTTTTTTTTTTTTTTTTTTTTTATTTGTTTGTTCATGGTTTTTCAAGGCTCTGGCATGCGCGCGAAGGATGGTTGCCGTCGCGGTTGCCGCGCGTTATCAGATTTGTTTTACCCCTTCTTTAGTTAACTTATATATTTACAATTAAGGATTCAAAGTAAATATGGAGAGTTTTTTTTTCTTCCACTAATATTAAACTAGATACAAAATATTTATAAAATTATATTTATTTGTTAATTTGTATATATTTACTAACGTTTCTTTATTTTAATTAGCTATTATTCTATCTGTTCTTTTATTCCGATATTATTTTTAGATATTATATTTTATTTAACGACCTGTCATGGATAGTTATTTTTACGCATTTTTATAAGTGATGTTCGTTATTTTTTAATTATATTCACTTCGGATTTAATTTATTCTCTTATATACATCCTTTAATCATGAAGTAGTAGCAGAGTGCTGCGCACTCTATCATCTCGTTGGGAAGTTTATCTATACTTGACTGCTATATGTTTGTTGTTTTTTTGACCTCGCCTGTACGCTTTCAAGTTCCATTGCGAACCTGCGCCAACGTGTTTGTTCCTTGTTATGATCATCGTTTCAGCCCCCCCCCCTGCGTATGTATCTTCTTCCTGTTTTGCATCGCCTATCCCGCTTCGGTTTGTTTATCCAAGGGTCTGCGTCTCTTGGGCTTTGTGTTCGGAGCTTTTCTTGAGTGTTTTATTGAGGGCGCGTTTGGTATCATGCGGCCTCTTTGGGCCACCTCGCCCATGAATCATCGCTGGCGTTCGCTGCTGCGCTGTCCTTGGGTCTCTTTGGGAGTTCTGTGGGGCGCCGTGGGTAGGCAGCGTGAGATTATGTGAGAAACGCTCGAAAGATCTGGCATCGGTGGGCCTCGGTTTGCTAATAATTATTTGGGTGTTTCTGTTCTTGTTCGTTCCAGGTGCCGTCGCGCTCGCTTGAACGGTCGAACGCGGGCGTGCGCGTATTGAAACTTCTGACGCGCATTTGATTTGTTGGGACGGCGGATTTTGTCGCTTCGCTCAGTCTTTCTTTATTTAGTTATTTGGTTTGCCATCGTAGCCGACTGATCGGGGCAACGCTCGTCGTATTGTCATTGATGCCATCTTGTGTCCCTGGGAAAATTAGGCAGCATGGGGGTAGGGAACGGAATGAGGAGGAGGAGGAGGAGGAGAAAGAGTTCGAAGAGGAGTATGACGGTGAGAGGGAAGGCGAATGAGATGACGTAGGAGAGAAGGAGGGGGAGGATGAAGGTGACGGGGGGAAGAAAGAGACGGAGGAGGAGGGGGACGAGGGAGACGATGAGGAGGAAAACCAGGAGGATGGGGGGGGGGAGTAGAGTGATGATGATGATGATGATGATGATGATGATGATGATGATGATGATGATGATGAGGAGCAGGAGGTGGATGAGGAAGAAAGGGGAAGGGGAAGACGGACTTCGGCGACTAACAGTTATGACGTCGGCGATTGGACAAGGAACGGCATTGATGTGGAGAGTAGAGGGGGAATATGATGATGAGGAAAGGGAGGGCGGTGCTAAAGGGAGGGGGGAGGCTGACGGGGTGAGCACGACGTGGCTGATGATGAAGGGGATGAGGAGGAAGAGTGAAAGCATGAGGGGGAGTGCGATGGCGTGGGAGAGGGAGAAGCAGGA